CGGGGCTTCCCCGGCCTGGAAACAGAAAAGAGTTCGCTGGAGCAAGGGACCTGGCGGGTGCACGGCAACTGCCTGGGGAGCGACAGAGTGAGGACCACTGGCGTCGCTTCCCAGGACAAGCAGGCTCCGCCGGGAAAGGCCTCGGTACGCCTGGCTCACCTCGTACCTCATCTGGTAGTGCATGGCGACGCGCTCGCGGTGCTGAAAGTCGCTGCCGTCGGTGCCGGCCGCTCGTGGGCCTGCCCGAGACGCCATCGTGCAGAACCAAGGTCCCTAACGTCTACCCTCTTGCTCACCCACCTAGCCAAGCACCCAGCGAACCCCTTTCCTGCTGTTTCGGCCCGGCTTCCACTACACGGCGTGTAGCTCCGGGAGAACTTCCGGCCTCTCTATCCAGGGAGGACTGACTCTGTGGTTTCTTATTCGCGCATGCGTTCTTGGTCTTTCCGCTGTTCCTTGCATCTCACGGAGCAATTAACTTAGTCCCTAGAAGTAGCTCGCCGGCGCCCAGAGACGCCATTGTGCCGAACCAAACCCCAGGCCGCTCATGCCAAGCAGCCAAACCCTTAGTAAACACATTTTAAGTTTATTATAAAGCATTTTAAAGATTACTTGTGTATGGGTGTTTTGTCTGTCTGTCTGTGCACCCCATGTGATTTTTGTGCCCACAGAGGCTGGAAGAGGACTTGTTAGCTATAATGTGAGTGCTGGGATTTGAACCTAGATCTATTTGGCTCTTAACGGCTGACCCAGACCCTAAGTTTTTATTCTTGAGAAAGGGTTTCATGTGCCTCATGTTGGCCTCGAACTCTTTTTTTTTGGGGGGGGGGGGAGGGGAGTTTGAGACAGGGTTTCTCTGTGTAGCCCTGGCTGTCCTGGAACTCACTCTGTAGACCAGGCTGGCCTTGAACTCAGAAATCCGCCTGCCTCTGCCTCCCAAGTGCTGGGATTAAAGGCGTGTGCCACCACTGCCCGGCTCTGCTTTTTTTCTTTAGCCCCCTGTGCCTCCTGTGATAAACTTAGTGTGCCAGTTCCTTGAGTCAGCCTCTGGCCTATCTATCAAGACACACCAAGTACACATGGAATGTTTAATAAATGTTTGGGGCGTGAATGTGGAAGGGAGGGGCCTGACCCTTTGCCTAGAACATCCTTTCGGAACTGCCTCACTTGGACTTTCTCCTGGCTCTGCCGTCTGTCTGAGGGTTGAGCTATTCGTGTTCCAATCTCAAATCTATTGCACCACATCTTTTCTTTTCCTTGTTTTTTGTTTGTTTGTTTGTTTGTTTGAGACAGGGTCTCATGTAACCTAGGCTAGTCCAGAACTCACTCACTTTCTGTGTAGATGAGATGACGTTGAAAACTCCTGATCTTCCTGCCTCTACTACCTCCCAAGTGAGGGAATAACAGGCCTATGTGGCTTTCTTTATGCTCTGATTGTATCATCCCCCCCACTCCCCCCAGAACAGTCTATTGTCTTCTCACCTGTTGGGGTACAGCTCTTTTCCCCACTCTGGGTCCACAGACCATTCAGTTCTTCAGACCTGCGTTGTCCTACTACATTGGATTTGTTGTTGTTTGTTTGTGGGCTTTCTTAATTTTTATCTTTTATACTAATTTATCTAATATGTGTGACATATACACCTGGGGCTTATGGGAAGATCAGAAGGTGACTCACGAGAATAAGTTCTTTCCATTATGTAGGTCCCAATGATTGAATTCATTGAACTTGTAAGTACCCACAAAGCCATTTTGATGACCCTAGTACTCTTTTGAAAGTCAAGGTCTGTGGTGGTTTGAATATGCTTGGCCCAGGGAGTGGCACTATTAGGAGGTGTGGCCTTATTAGAAGAAGTGTGTCACTGTGAGTATGGGCTTTAAGACCCTCATCCTAGCTGCCTGGAAGCCAGTCTTCTTCTAGCTGCCTTCAGATGAAGATGTAGAACTCTCAGCTCCTCCTGTACCATGCCTGCCTGGACACTGCCATTTTCGCTTTGTTGATAATAGACTGAGCCTCTAAACCTGTAAGACAGTCCCAATTAAATGTTGTCCTTATACGAGTTGCCTTGGACATGGTCTATTCACAGCAATAAAACCTGAACTAAGACAAGGTCTTACTCTATAATCCATGCTGGCCTGCAACTCCTTATGTAGTCCAGGAGGGACCTTAAACTCAAGGCAGTCAGCTTGCCTCTGCCTCCCAAGGGCTGGGATCCCAGGCCTAAGCCACCACGCCAACTATGTTGGTTTTTTGTTTGTTTGTTTGTTTTCTTCTCGGAACATGATTGTTAGAAAACAAAGAAAGAAACAAAAATGAAACAACAAATAAATAAACAAAACTTTTTTTGTTTTTGAGGTAAGATCTCTCACTGTGTGGCCTAGGCTGGCCTTAGACTGGTGATGTTTGTGCCGCAGCCTAAAGGCTCTAAAGCCTCTTTAGAGGCTCAGGCTGAGAGAGAGGTGGACGTCAGCACTTCTGGCTCCAATTGCTTGCTTGCTTATGTGTTCCAGCTCTCCAGTCCAGCTCCTCCAGGTGTGGGCTGAGGCTGTCTTGCTTTCTGATGGATTTTAGTGACACACTGAAAGCGCTCAATGAATGAATGTTGCCTCTTCCAGGGATTGGCTTAGCTCTAAATAATGCTTATCCTGCGAGCCAGTGAGTCCCCACCGGACAGGACAAAGAAAGGTTGTGCATCTCTGTCTTCACGTTGCTGCTTTAAGATCTGAACCGGCTTCCCAACTAGCTGTGCCTACAAATGTGTTAAGCATTTATAAAGTACTCATCTTAGCCAGGTTTGAGTGGTACACACCTTTAGTCCCTGCACTCTGGTGTATAGTGTTTGCACCATATGCATGCAGCGTCCAGAGTCCCCTGAAACTAGAGTTACAAACAATTGTGAGTTGCCATATGGGTGTTGGTAATAGAAGCTGGGTCCTCTGTGGAGGTGGCCAGTGCTCTTGACCACCGAGACAGCTCTCCAACCCCGCGAATAATGTGAACGTTTTTATGGAGGTTTTGATATAGACATATTTGTGTGTGTGTGTGTGTGTTCATGTAAGGACAACCTATGGTAGTCAATTCTCTCTTACCACCATGTGTGTCCTGAGGATCAAATCGAGATTGTCATGTTTGGCGGCAAGTACCCTTACTCAATGGGTCATCTTGTTGGCCTAATTTTTATTTTTCTTAGTTATAGTGTCTGTAATGAACGATTACAGATTTTATACTCTTTTATTTTGAGACTTTGTAGGGCAGACTTTCTTGAGTTGGAGATTATCTTCCTGCCTCTGTCTCTTGAGTCCTGTATTTCACTATACCCAAATTTTGTGATTTTTTTTCCACCCTCTTTCTTGAGCCAGGTTGTTACTTTGTAGCACAGGCTGGTCTACAAACTTCCTATAGCCAAGGCTAGCTTCATTCATAGCAGTCGTCCTGTCTTGGCTTCCCAAGTGCTGGGATTGTAGCCATTACAAGCATGAGCTACCTCTCTTAGCAAGATATTTTTATTTTTGATATTACACATTTCACCTTGTCCTAATCTCTGATTTTATTTATTGCATATAGCATATTGTCAATAACAATCACTTTTATCCATTGAGCACCTAGGTGGCAAATGTTTTTATTGTGTGTGCTTTTGGTTGTGAGACAGGGCCAAGTCTATAGCATGAGATAGTTTTCAACTCATGGCCCTCCTCACGCCTCAGTCTACTGAATGTCAAGATGACAGTTCTGACTTCAACGTGAACATTATACAGAGGAGAGAACGCAGGGTTCACAGAGGGCACTCATGTGAGCAGAGAGTCTGTGTGGGGGCAGAACTCAGACCAGAAGCCACATCTGTTGCTTTCTGTGCCCTCTTGCCTAGTGCCATGGGCAGTACCTCTTCTCAAGCTTTCGAAACATGCCTTCTTCCCCATTTCAGGGCTTTCTGGAAGTCTGTCTGACTTGAAATCCCTAGGGAAGAGTTTCAAACTCACTCCCCTGGCTCTTTTCCCCAGCTGGGGCTGAGGGCCAGGGGAGTGGCTTCCCAGGAGATGGAAATAAAATGGAGGGAGGCCTGGGCTGTGCCTGGCCACACAGTATTGCCAGGAGGCTGGGAGGTGAGGGGGAGGTGAGGAGCTGGGGTATTTGGCTACTCAAGAGAAGTGGGGGGGATTCCCGTGTTGGAGGGGGGTATAAGGAACAGGGTTGGGATAATTGTGCTTGAGTCGTGTTGGGTTGGGGTGAGGGAACTCTGTAGGGGTGACCTGAGAAGAATCTACCTTATCAGAAGCCAAAAGTGCTTTGACATGGCTGAGGTCGCAGTCCTACCCCATGCCCGCTCCTGGGTTAGGCTCTGCTTCTTGTGATAAGGGCTGAAAACAGAGACAGCAAGGACACAGGAGCTTCAGAGACATGGACGGGGGCGGGCAGAATGGAGGGTCCTTCTGCAAGTCATCGGGAAAGGCTTTCCTGAGGTGGCAGCAGGGAACCTGGGACTTGTAGGTGGTCTGTGTGGAGCTCTGAGTGTGATACAAGCTGCATCACAGGTAAAGAGACTGGCTGTGCAGGGGCTTGCAGCCCCAGCAGGCAAGAACCAGAGAACAGCACTACAGGGGAAAAAGCAGGCAGCGAGCTGAGTACTACCCCATCAGAGCTGTGATGCTGTGTTACAAATCATAGGAGTTACCTAAGTGAGTAATAGAAGTGCAGACTCAGCTGCTTTGTCACATCAGTCATGGTGCCAAGGGCTCTGAGTGGGTAGCAGCTATAGTATTGGAGAGCACAAACCTAGATGGTCTTCAGTACAAAAGTTCTCTTGGCCAGCGCTAAACCTCAGGAGGGCTCTATTGCTCAAGGGCCCATGGAGCAAAGCAGGCCCCGCCGTCTGGCTGAGTGGAGTTTCTGGACTATAGGTGACTTTCAGGTCCCTCACAGCACGAGGAGGTGTGACTCACCTCCTGCCAGCGTGAAGTGGACTCTGTCCCCTGAGACTGGGACAAGTCAGTGAGGGCCTCTTCAGTCCTGAGTTCAGCTTTTCTGCTCAGTGTGACCAGAGCTTGGGTCGGAGAGACAATGGAGTGAGTGGCACTGGGGTTGGGGAGCAGCTATGGAGTAGGGGGAGGTGGTAGGTGCTGGCTCGGTCATAGTTGCTATGGACTCAGGGGAAATGGGTGGTCAGATGAGAGACTGGGGCAGAGGGTTGCTGCTGTGTGGGGGTTGGAACACATTGGGTCAAAGAAAGAAAGAGAAGGACCCCTCCCTTCCCGCTAACCAGATACGCTTCTGCTTTGGTTCCAGGTCCAACGCAATCCAACTGACAAGGATGGACTACGCCATGAAGTCTCTCAGCCTTCTGTACCCCAGGTCGCTGTCCAGGTGAGGGGAGCCAAGAATAGAAAAGAGGGGGGAGCCTGGGGAGCCATCAGTTAGAACTTCTCAAACTTTTAATGGGTATAAAAGCCATTTTGGGGCTGGCTGTGGTGGTGTATGCTTTTATCCCAGCACTCAGGAGGCAGAGGCAGGAAGATCTTTGTGAGTTCAAGGTCAGCTTGATCTACAATTCTGGATTAGCCAGGGCTACATAGGCTACCCTGTCTCAAAGAAAAAAAAAGTCATGTGAGTGTGTAGTTGAAACATGGATATGGCCAGGCATAGTGGCACATACTTTGAAGCCTGGCACTTGAGGAGCAGACACAAGCAGATCTTGGTGAATTTGAGGACAGTCTGCTATGCACAGAAAGTTCCAGGTCAACCAGAGCTACATGGTGAGATACTATCTCAAAAACAGACAAGCAAGCAAAGAACCCATTAAAACAAAACAAGCAAAAAAATCTTACTACCATAAATCCCGACAGGTCTGATTCAGACCTGAGCTGCCTAGAGTAGTGCCTGAGCCTGCAGTCTGGATGAGCGAGTGCCCAGGTTATACTCTTCTCTGCCACCATCACGGCTCCTGTCACATCTGGAGTAGGGAGGGCCAGCCTCTGCACTGAGTACCTTCATTCCTGATCTCCCAGGAGCCTCATGCCTACTCTGGGAAGTGGGGACTAATATGTCAAGTCAATAGATGGGGAAACTGAGTCACTGGTCGAGCATTCTATTACCTGTCACCTAGCAAATCTGTAGCAGAGACAAACTTTGAACTTGAACCCGAAAAATTCCAGACTCACATTCTCTCTGCTCCTTTCTTCCTACCCTGTGTATCTGAGAGTTCAAAAATACTCGACAGGTTTCCCAACCCCTCCCCCCTTAACCCCACTTTACATCGAGGGGAACAAGGCCACAGAGCAGAGTAGTCCACAGGGGAGTGTGGCTGGTCCAAGAACCAGCCACACTTAACACAGTTTGGGGGACTTGTTAGACAAACAGTCCCTTTGGGCGCCACTCACAGCCACTGAAGTGACTATGATTTTAGCAAGATTGCAGCTGATTTTCCTGTCCATCCAAATGGAGACACACTCTCAGATGGGCTCTGAGAAAGCCACCTGGAGAGGCTGTGATTGGTGGGAAGGAAGGGTCAGCTGTGCGCTCAGGCAGCAGACAGGTCATCTGATGTTCAAACTGATGTCCCCAGGCACGTAGCAGTGAGCACTGCAGTGGTGACCCAGCAGCTGGTGTCTAAGCCCAGCCGGGAGACTCCCAGGGCGAAGCCCTGTCGTGTTAGCACAGCAGATCGGAAAGTTCGAAAAGGCGTCACGGCTCACAGCCTGGAGGACCTACTGGTCAAGGTAAGAGGTCTGCCTGCGCTCTGCCTCGGCTCTCTCCAGGCCTTGGCTGAGAGTCGACGCTGCCAGCTGCTTCAGTCTTCCAGGTCTGAGCTGGAAGTGTGTGTGCGCATGCGCGTGTATTTTCTTAAGAAAGGTCCCTTTCTGGTGTCAGCACTGGAGGGTTGGTAATCTGCTTGGAGAGGTATGGGTGTGACAGAGAGGTGACAAGTTCAAGTGACAGAGGAGGGGCAGTGCATTGCTGTCTTACAGGCTAACAGTAGGTGAGTGGTATTTTCTTCATGAAAAGGCTCACGGTTCTTTTTCTAAATGAGCCAGGTATGGTGTCTCGTGCCTGAGAACCCAGGACTTGGGACACGTGTGCGTGCGCACGCATACACACACACACACACACACACACACACACACACCAACATCTTTTTCACTCACACACAGTAAAATTATACAAAACATAAAAACAAACTTCCGGAAGTGTCAGGAGTTGAAAAAAAAGAATTTTAGTGCTTTCAGTCTGCATCTCCTACCTGTCCCCACAACTTTCCCTGCATCTGTCTCCCAAACTGGAACTTCCAGGAAAGCCTTTGTTTGGAAAATTTGTACTCCCCCATGAGTGGAAACCCAGGGCTACCAGCTCCTGTACTAGAAGAAGCAGGCTGTACCGAGAGCAGGACCCCGTTCTCATCATTCCTTTCCCTGCCCCTCCTACAGCCCCTTCTAATTTTGCTTCTGTTGTGTCACCTCAGGCCTCCCTAGCCCATTAGTACCAGCTGTGTGGGGCTGGAACCCTTGCATCTGAGGGTCCAGTTGCCCCACATAAGCCAAACATTTGAAATAGGTTTTCAGTTGTCAGAGTCAATTTAGCATGCAGAGAACATAGCTGAGGTAACTTTCAGGCGAGGATTCTATCCCACTCATGCAAGTTAACTCTGCTCTTCCTAGGAGCAGGTTTGTCGGCTCCTATGAGACCTGTGGAGGAATCAAAAGGACTGGCTCACTCTTTGCCCTGAGCCCCAGGGACCACTTCCTTCATTAGGGTTTTCTTATCATACACGCTTCCAACATTTTATACCCCTACTCCTTACCCCTAGAGCCGGGTCATGATTTTCCTTTTCAGTGGGTACTTTAAGAACACCTTTGAGGATTCAGCCGGCGGTTCGGGGAGAAGTACCTTCCACCTTAGATCATGGCCAAGTTCGTCCGTAGCTTCTCGGAGAAGGCACCGTTGATGGTGGCCGCTGCCGTGACTTACTCGAAGCCTCGATTGGCCACATTTTGGCACTATGCCAAGGTTGAGCTGGTTCCCCCCCCCAACCCCTGGTGAAATCCCTACAGCTATTCAGAGCATGAAAAAAATAATTCAAAGTGCTAAAACTGGTAGCTTCAAACACCTTACAGTTAAGGAAGCTGTGCTGAATGGTTTGGTGGCCACTGAGGTGTGGATGTGGTTTTATATCGGAGAGATCATAGGCAAACGTGGCATTGTTGGCTATGATGTTTGAAGACCAATCTTTAACTTCTGATTTGTGTTCTTATTTGAATGTTCTTGGACCACGTGTATGTAACGGGACTGCTATCTGAATAAAATGCTAGCTGTCAAAAAAAAAAAAAAAAAAGAACACCTTTGAGTTGTAGAATTTGAGACCTTCTAGTCAGGGTTCTGTTGCCAGGGCACACAGGGGACTATAGTAGGACTCTATCTCTGTAACACAGACAGGTCAGAAGGGACTCTTACTGCCAGGGCTTGAAGGATGGTGGCCCTCTGGACTCTGATTCATGTTTGACAGCACAAAGGTGTGGACAGAGTAGAGGGGAGAGCATCGGAGATGTGGTTGCCAAGTAACCGTGTCATTCCAAAGATCTCACAAATCTGCTCCTAGGAGGAGCAGAGTTAATTAGCATGAATGAAATAAAAACCTCCCCTGGAAGGTTAAGTCAGCAATGCTCTCTGCATGTTACTGGAGGGGTTTAATTTTTATTTTTTTAATGATTATCTACTTGTGTGTATATGTATGTGCACACATGAACACACGCATGTCACAGGACACAGGTAGAAATCAGAGCATGGGAGTTGGGTTTCTTTCCATCATGTGGGTCCTGGGATTGAATTCAGGTCAGCAAGCTTGACTATAGGCACCTTCTCACTGGAACTTAAGTTCCATTTCGTTATTTAAGTTAGTTCCTTGGTTTGCCTTTAGGAAGTTAGGCAGGGTTTCAGTCTTTAGCTCAGGCTTCCTTGGGACTCACTATGTAACCCAGGCTACCCTGGAATTTCCAGTATTCCTCTCACACCAGTTTTCCAAGTGCTAGGATTACAGGCACGGCTCACCAGTTCAATCTAGAGGATATTTTCATTGTTGTTTGTTTGTTGTTTGCCTAGTTTATGGGATGCTGGGATGCTGGCTGAAATCACCCAGGGCTTTGTTCATGCTGAGCAGGCACTACACACACACACACACACACACACACACACACACACACACACACACAC